GGGATATTCTGAAACCACTCAGTCCACAAATATGCTGTGAGCTATCAGTTCACAATAGGAAATTAGAAGCTGAGTGAATTTCTTACAGATTATCAGGTATTCTTCAAATTTTAAAGGGTCTTTAATGAGTTAAAAAATGGGAGTAAGCATTTATTGCAGAGATGTATTGAATATATATATTTTTTGCCCTGACATATGCTTCAAAGTGTATGCAAACCTTAAATCCACATTCCAGTATGTTTGGCTTGATGCCTCACTGCATACAGTTTTCTTAAGCAAGTTGTGTTTTGTAAATCTGTTGCCAGGTTTCTTACCCTGAAATCCTGCCAGTAAAGGAGATTCCTGCTGTAGGCAGAAAATGCTAAGCCACTGCCGCAGAATTAGCAGCAGGACTGTCAATCTGTCATGCAAGTACCTTCAGTTAGCTATTGGGCAGTTTTTCTGGTACACCTAATAGGTAGCTGAATAGCCAAATGAAGGAGCACATAATGGCTGACAACACTGCTGTTAATTTTGAAGCAGTGGTTTAGCATTGTCAGCCTACTGTGTGTGCTCCTGCTGTTATTGGCAAAATCCCAGATAACAAACTTTGCAAAAGATTCACAAAAAAAACCCAAAAAACGATTTGCTTAGGGCATAGTTCACACGTTTGCATTGCGCGAATGCACACAATAACGGTACAATACTGCAACGCGTGGTGGCATTCATTCTGAATGGAACTGCAACGCTTCTTGCTCACTTATGTGTGTTGCAGCGCAAAGCACTGCAATGCACTAATGTGTCCGCTGCCAGAAGAGCATGTCTGTTTTCTGGGATGTTGAGTTGAGATGAGAATAGGGGCGAACGGCAGCCAGCGAGCTGCCGGAGCTTCAGCTCAGCCGTTCCAGATGTTGGATCGGCTGAGTCGAAGTCCTTCTGCACTTCGGCTCAGCCGAAGATTCAGAGCATGTTCGGCTGACCGAAGTGGAGCTGAAGGCAGCCGATGTACAGCTGATTTCAGCCGATGTGCAGCTGAAATCAGCCGTACTGAGCCGGAGTGAATAGCCGAACTTAGTTCTGCTCACTTCACTTCGGCTGGGTTATTCACTTGGCTGCCTTAGGCAGCTATGTGAATAACTCCCATAATGCCAATAATACTGAAACACTAATCTTTAGTTTACATACACGTAAAAAAAAAAAAAAACCAAAATGGCAATTTAGTAATGATTTTTATTTGGAAATAGATTAATTTCTGAATTCTGGACGTTCTGTGTAAGAATTAACATGCTAAATGTTAGCTGGCATATTACCTAGAAGTAAGAATGTTACAGAATGTTTTACTAACTGGCTGCAAAAAAAAAGCTCATGAAATGGGCAGAAAAATATAAGAAACCATGTCTTCGCTGAGTTGCAAATATTCACCAAACACCCTTGGCGAACTGAGACTTTATTATTGCTTTGCAGTTTTTATCTAATGACATCTCCTTTTATTTTGCCTTTTATTTTTAACTTCTTTTATCTGGTTACCACTAAACGGCTGAAGGGAAATCCAGGGCTAGCAGGGATAGGAGTTTGGGATTCTGCAGTCAAGAATTACATCTCGGGTAATATACATTCATCTTTGCTTTTACTGCAAGCTCCTAATTGATAGACTTTTTACAGTAGTTCATGGCAGCTATATACATAGACCATGTGGTATTCAGCTTTCATCAGCTCTTCCAGGTTTACCTTTCTCTGTAATATTCATGCAATACAAGTGTAAAAAAAAAGGGGAAGGCTGTATTAGACGTGGCACAAAATATTATAAATCTATAATAGATATGTAAAAACCCAGGTAAAGAATGCTTATTTCATTCTTTTCTGGATAGGGCACACACTAATTCATTTAAAGTCGAGGGAAACTTTGAAAACAAAAAATTGCAAGTAGGCTTTTTAGTGCAGAAGAGACATGCTATGTCTCTTTGGCAATAAAACAAACGTACCTGCCCGTACGGAGTCTCCTTTTCAATGTAGACTGAGCAGCTCATGCCATGACTAAAATTAACATGCAGCATGTGCATAGGAGTTACATCATTCCCTGGACAGCCAATCAAGCCAGCCAAAGACCCGGCATCCAAGAATAAGCCAGGGAGAAGATGGTGTTGGGGAGGGAGCAAGGGGAGGAATATTAAGATCCGCTTTAAATGGTAACTGAGAAAGTCCAATTACTTTAATATATGATTAATTTGGAGAATGATGCATTTTAATTATGCACAATGACATGCAAAATAACTATTTTTAAAAGTATGGTCACTTTGCCATGAGTATCCCTAATTCATCTTAATATACATGTAGATTCCATGACCCAGTACATTGGGACAATGAGTCAACCCACCAGTGCCTATACAAACTGGAATATGAGATTTGGTGGAACTAGAAAACAATTCACCTTGTTTTATGAGCTGATATACTGATTTCTTCTTCATCTGCAGAACTATCCCTATCCGAGTCTCTGAATGGCCTTGGCTCCGTCTTGTTCCTTTCATGCAGCTGTGGGTGGTTCTCTTGTACTTCTATTTTTTTTGCCTCCTCTTCTTGATGTAGTATGTGGAAATATCTCCGTCCCTGCTTTACACTGCCAATCAGTCTTCTGCCAATCAAAACACAATGCACAATCAAGTGTAAATTCTTGAGAAAGGGAATCAATGTCGTCTATATATATATATATTTACAAGTAGGTATACTTGCAATTACTACAATTATTTCTGTAACAAACCTATTTGAATACTGATGTATGTGTTTTATATTAAAATGAGAACTTCAGGAAAAACATAAAACTCATAAAAAAAAAAAAAGTTGCATGACTATTTGCTTATCGGTATCTGCATTTTATATTTGCTTGTACTGTTCAGCAGAAAAGCTTATTGTGCACATCAGATTTAGTTTTTTTATAACAGAAAGGCCTGCTTTAGAGCATGTTTAGGGCAATGCAGTGACGTTAACCCAGAGAGAAACTTACCAGGGTGATAAAGTAGCAGAATGCTTTGTGTGCTGAAACATGCAGTGGGCATGGCTAATTTAAATGAGGGATGTGGCTAATTTAAATAAGGGATGTGGTTTTCCAAAAGACTCAATTCACCGTATAAATGCTCCAATCCCATACAAAGATTTCCCAGGTAGCCAGTTCTTGTAAAAACTAACATCTCTGAAAGGACAGGACTTACCAAATCTCCTTCACTGTATAAATGCTCCAGCCTCCACCTTTCCCAGCAGCAATGCAGAGACACAATCACTACCCAATTGATACTGCCAAAAACACATGTGCAGAGAATGATACAAGCTATACCAACTGACACCAACAGATTCACATCCACAGAGACACAAATAGTACTGTTCTGAGATCACCAGAAATCATAGTGATAATGATAATCATCATCAGTTGTGATCGATAACACAACTATCCAACCCTCCCCTCATGCCAAGGTCCTGGGTGTCATCCTTGACTCGGACCTCACCTTTCTTCCCCACATCCAATTGCTATCCAAATCCTGCCGCCTTCACCTTCATAACATCTCAAAAATACGCCCCTTCCCCACCAATGATACCGCAAAACTACTCATACACTCCCTTGTTATCTCTCGTCTTGACTATTGTAACTCCCTCCTCATTGGCCTTCCACTACACAGGATATCCCCCCTTCAGTCTATCATGAATGCAGCTGCCAGACTCATTCACCTTACCAACCGCTCAGTGTCTGCATCCCCCCTCTGCCAATCCCTCCACTGGCTTCCACTCGCCCAGAGGATAAAATTCAAAATATTAACAGTCACCTATAAAGCCATCCACAACTCTGCCCCCGGATATATCTCAGACCTTGTCTCAAAGTATCACCCTAAACGTCCCCTCCGCTCATCCATTGACCTCCTGCTTTCCAGCTCCCTTGTCCACTCCTCCCATACTCGCCTCCAGGACTTCTCTAGAGTCTCTCCCAACCTGTTCGTCTATCTCCCACCTTGACTGCCTTTAGGCGTTCCCTAAAGACTCATCTCTTCAGGGAAGCCTATCCCACCTCAACCTAACCACTGAACCTTCACATTCTCACATAATTCATTCCCACAGCTCCCACAGCTACCTCATGTATCATTTCCCCCTCCTCTTTTAGATTGTAAGCCCTCAGGGGCAGGGCCCTCCTTACCATCTTGTCTTGAATTGTATTGTAACTGTAATGTCTTCCTTATATTGTAAAGTGCTGCGCAAACTGTTGGCGCTATATAAATACTATGTAGTAATAATAATAATAATAATAATAATAGTGGTGGCTCTGCTACCTGACAATAATGTCCCTCAACTCCTGGCAGTGGAGAAATTCGTCTGGCCACATTGGCAATGTGGCAGGTGGGTGAGGCTAAGTGAGCAGGTGCAGCCAAAATCTGTACTGGTGATTAGTTATAAGTAGGTGGGAATTGAAGCTGATGGGAGTTGTAAAATGTAGTAAAGGGACTTATGCAGCACATTAGAAAGCAAAGAAATACCAAGCAAACATAACTTGATTTTCCTACAAAGTTACTGATTTTCTCATTTTTTTTCTTTACTTTTACACTTTAAGTTTTCCTCCAGTAATGGGATAGCATCTAACATATATTTTAGTACATCTGCAAGGATATAACACAATAAGGGCCAATTTCATGGGCCTTTTTCACTTCAGAACTGGTTATCTCTATATACAAATCAATGGGAATGCAAAAGTAGCTTGATATAGGTCTTAACAAGAACAATTGCCACCACATAGATACCAGCATTTTCGCTTTCCACATGGTATAGGAAAACTATAATATTGTGTTTGTTTTCAAGCCAAGCTTTTTACTGTTCTGTATGGGTTTATACTACTTGGCATCAAAATTGTGCTTATTGGTATTCTTCTTTAAAGCAGAACTCCAGAATTTATTTATTTTTAACCCTTGCAGTGGGGCTATCGCGGCTAACTGCTCGTTTGTGTCTAGATTAAAAAAAACAAAAACAATGATATACTCACCTAAAGATCCCAGCCGTCATCTTCTTAGACTAGTCCCAGGAATGTCTCTCTCCTTCCTCTGCAGCGGTTTAAGGTCCAGTACATCTGAGCGCCGTGACAGCTGGCCAGCTCGAAGCTTTGGGTGAGTATATCTTTGTTATTTTAGTACCTTAACACAAATGAGCACACGCACAAATGGGTAGCCCCACTGCAAGGGTTAATTTTAAAAATTCTTTAATTTTGTCAATGTGTGTAGCTCCCTTTTTTCAAATGAGTGTTAAACCTAACTTTACAACAACCTAAGTTTCTATCACTGCCATTTTAGGCCGCACATTCTCAATTCAAAAGTTCAACTGGTTTAAATAGGAGGGGAAATAGACTTTTGGCTCAATGATTGCCTTATGGTACCCTCCTTGTCAGAGCTATGGGGGTATCAGTCCTTCGTGGCTCCCCTCATTCTCTGTAATAGTTGCTTTGATGAGGGTATCTGCCCTACCTTCTGTGGGTTTTGTCATTCCAGTACTATTTGTTTGTTACTTTATATTCTGATTGATGCACCCTTTCGATTATTTTGTCAGTTGCTGTTCATTTTCTGTTCGTTAATTATTCAATAAGAATTTTGTGAAATAAATAGGAGGGGAAAGACTTTAAACATCATCTTTTACAGATTATGTTAAATTCGTAAATGGGGATAAAAAATGTACAGAATGTTTATCCATTTTAACCCTCATCAGTTGTCATATTAAAACTAAAGTGACATTAATAAACACGGATCTTTGTACTGTGCATAGCTAATAAATAATACATCCCAAGTGAAATAAAAGACGACTTAGCTGAACATTTCTATTGACTTGACAGGGTAATAATGCACAAACTGTGTAAACTTGATGCTAATTCCAGGTATTTATCCTGTCGCCTATTTTTACTGACCAAATATAAACAATTCAGTCATCTGCTAGACCTCCACCATATTCATTATTTATAATGCCCTTTATAATATCTTACAGCTATCTTACAGCTAATTCTTTACCTTAAAATAATATCTCATCATTTTTCCTTTTGCCAGGTTGCTTATCGTCTTATGGTAGTATCTGAAAATGTAAATTACTTTCATTGCCTTGGGGCAAAATTTATGTTGTTTTCATTTCTGTATATCTTTTACGTTTGTGGATAAAAAGTGACATGGTAAATATTTGCATACAAATGACTTTAGAAAGAGTGTTGTCTTCCAGCACAATTCTGTGCCTGAAACAGATGAACACATCTAATGTACCAGGCAAACACAAGCCAATGTATAAAAAGCAGTGCTCTGTAAAGAACCTTCTCCCCAAAATTGTTGACCATAATTCTTATTTCAGTGAATTCCAAGAAAAAAAAAAACATTTGTAGGTTTAGTATGGCACTATGAGAGTGATGAATGTAATTGCATTGAACGTGTATGTTTCAAAAACATATTTAGTACAGCGGCTGGGTTATTCACTTGGCTGCCTTAGGCAGCTATGTGAATAACTCCCATAATGCCAATAATACTGAAACACTAATCTTTAGTTTACATACACGTAAAAAAAAAAAAAAAAACTGGCAAAAAAAAATAAAAAATAAATACATAGAAGTTTATCCAGTCAGGGCATGTTAATTACAATAAACACTGGCAAAAAAACAAACACAACAGAAGTCAACGAAGGTTGAAATGATAAGTCAACAGACCTCCGTTGACGTACGTTTTTGGGTGTGAAGGGGCCTACAAAGAGACAAAACATGGGGGAATGTGTATGTATTGCCTTAGAACAACAGGTGAGAGACACCTGACCATCATTGGTAGAACATCACTTCTGTTTTTCATGCGACTTGCTTGTTAAACAGAGGTCCCACACACATGGTTAGCAACAGATTTGTCACATGGAGATTATTCAACAAGTTGGTAAATCCGCGTGTCTGCCAATAAGTTCATTTAGAGGGTTATTCACAAAGCTGCCGAAGGATCTAGCCGTAGCTTCGGCTGATCCTTCGGCTAGCTTCGGCCCCAGGACCCCTTCGGTTCAGTAGAACCGAAGGGCTGCTGTACGGGCTATACACTATAGCCCGTACAGATCCCCAAGTTGGCCCGAGCGGCTCAGTTGAGCCGAAGGGAAAACCAAAGCTGGCCGAACGGCTGGCCATTGGCCGGCCAACAGCCTGCTACTGACAGCTGGGCGGAGCCAGCCGTCATCTCACGGCTGGCTCCGGCCACTTGCAGAGACAGATCAGCATCCCCTGGTTACCAGGTAACCAGGGACGCTGATCTGTCATTACACTGAGAACACGGCGGGGCCGTCGTGTTCTCAGTGTGTAATGACAGTTCCACGTCCCATGGTTACCTGGTGACCAGGGGACACTGAACTGTCATGAGAGCTTGTCTCTCTAGGTAATTAGGTAAACAGGGACACTGATCTGTCATTACGATAAGAGCTTAGCAGAGCCGGCTTTGATATCACCGCCGGCTCCGACAAGCTCTCATTGTAATGACAGCTGGTCCTGGCCAATAGAAAACAGTTGTCACTGCTAGCTCCGCCCTATCTCGTTTTCTACTTTTTTTTTTACAGTTTTTCTGTTCTGCTCGGTACCACAGAAGTACCGTGCAGAATAGCCGAGCCGAATGC